ATGGTCGCCCATCAATGCAAATGTCTCTGTGTATAGAAGGATCATCAACATGCTGGTACAGATGTACCAGTTCGGCCTGATTCGGCTCGAAGTCGTTCATCTTCGGATGCGGCGCCGCGCGCAATGTTACTAAAGGCCAATTTATACTTCTGCGTCGGGTGCGCGCAGTAGGTACGGCGTAGCATACGCACAGACGCGTACCATACGCCGTACCCTTCGCCGTAACCTGACGCGCACCTCCTCAAAAATGTAACTACACGTCGCGACGACGCGGACCGCAAGATCTGTGATTGGTCGGCTTGGTAGCATCGCGTTTCCTCCTATGCATTTCCGGCGTGTTCTTCTGCACCGCCCGCCATTTTTAAATTCTAAGTACAGCGAAACTGTTAAAAAAACTAAAAATTTACCTTTTCCACATCGATAAGCTCCAACTCCAACATGATCTGCTCTCTTTCAGTCGCCATTGCTTGTAGTAACCTAAACTCAAAACAGCCGCGAGGAATCTTCTTCTTCTTGCCGCGAGGAATCTAAACACAGTGGAACATTAAAACCCTCCGCCGCCAACTAGCGTTTCGGCGCTGTACTGCAGAGCAACGCAGACCTAAACGCAGAAGTATAAATGCTCATGACGCCGTCGCCTACGTGCGTAGCCTACGCCGTACACTACGGCGTACACTCGACGCAGAAGTATAAATTGGCCTTAAAAGTGCCGTGCACACCGCCAGGCGAAATGGGGTCTTGCGCACCCAACGCGCACGACCGCCCACACCGCAATTACGTCATTTTGCCGTGCGCACCTTCGCGCTCTTGCGGACGCGTCGAGTATAAACAAGGCTTTAAGGCCAATTTATACTTCTGCGTCGAGTATACGCCGTAGTGTACGGCGTAGGCTACGCACGTAGGCGACGCCGTCATGAGCAATTATACTTCTGCGTTTAGGTCTGCGTTGCTCTGCAGTACAGCGCCGAAACGCTAGTTGGCGGCGGAGGGTTTTAATGTTCCACTGTGTTTAGATTCCTCGCGGCAAGAAGAAGAAGATTCCTCGCGGCTGTTTTGAGTTTAGGTTACTACAAGCAATGGCGACTGAAAGAGAGCAGATCATGTTGGAGTTGGAGCTTATCGAGGTGGAAAAGGTAAATTTTTAGTTTTTTTTAACAGTTTCGCTGTACTTAGAATTAAAAAATGGCGGGCGGTGCAGAAGAACACGCCGGAAATGCATAGGAGGAAACGCGATGCTACCAAGCCGACCAATCACAGATCTTGCGGTCCGCGTCGTCGCGACGTGTAGTTAAATTTTTGAGGAGGAGCGCGTCAGGTTACGGCGAAGGGTACGGCGTATGGTACGCGTCTGTGCGTATGCTATGCCGTACCTACTGCGCGCACCCGACGCAGAAGTATAAATTGGCCTTTACGTCGTCATATTATGTTGGCACGCGCGCGCTCCATCTGCTCCTCAGATTTCTCTGTCGAAAAAGGAAGCTGGTCGGCAGCGCGAGGAGCTTGGCAGCGTCTCGTTCCCTATTGAGAGAACATAGGTTACACCACTAACCAGAGATGTTCTCTTTCATAGGTTCACTCAATGCTGCGTAGCTAAGAAGCAGTGGATTTGTAGGCTGCTATCACGTGCCGTTTGAACTGACGCGCTACAGCGATCTGTCACATTTCAAAGAGCCAAAACGTTATTTATTGTGTGAATCTCGTAAAAATATCGACAGAATCTGACAGCTGTGGATTTGTTCCATATCAAAAGTAACCTTCTCTGTCTTGTCTATCGGTGTCCTCTTTGTCCGCGATTTTTCTCTGCGTGAGAAAATGCATGTGTGGCGTGCGTGAGAGCGTGTGAAAAGGGTCAATTGCGTGAGTCTCACGGTCAATGCGTGAGAGTTGGCAGCTCTGCCTGCTAGTAATCTCTATTAATCTCCAGTATTATTTCATAGTTTGATACAATATTGTTTTATATGATATTATGTATATGTGTAAAATGTAATGTAATTTTTTTTATTTTATATTGGTTTTATTATTACCATATGTTACTTGTATTTATATTGTTTAAAGATTTAAGTTAATATTGTGTCCAGTTTGGCCCTGTAAATAAAAGGGTATTATTTTTTGATAAAGTATGTGCGGTTTCGTTTTCTTAAGTAGCGTTTAAAGAACCGTTTAAACCGGAACCGTTTAAAAAATACCGAGTAGGTACTGGTATCGGATAAAACCCAACCGATACCCAACCCTAGTTAGATAAGGTATAAAGTATATTTGAGACTATAAACTATATAGATCTGGCTACGTGAGACTACAGTTTGAATTAATCTTTCTTAAATGACACAGAGTACAGAAGAGAGGCTCTCGGGAGCGTGTAAACGTCACATCCTTATGATTTCCCAGCAGAAACGTCCCACGTCCTTCACATACAAATCAGTCTACAGGCTTTCAAGCTGTTCATTCATTGACATTAAAAATGATTAATACATGCAAATTCTAACATAACCCCCCCTTTAAAATATACAGTGCTGAGCAAAAGTCTTAGGCATGTCAGTGAGTTTTTAAGTATATCAAGAAGACACTTTGAAGAAACTTATACCTCCAAAATCTGTGTACCTGGACAAAAGCTGGTTTAGTTTAATATTTGGTCACACCAAATATTGTATTAAATGATTTAGTTAATAGAAGTTAATTGATAAATAAAATCTATTTTTGACATTATTTTTGAAAGCATCCTCAAAAACTTCACAATTTGGAGGAGGGTTTCTTCAAGTGTCTTGGAGACGTTGCCACAGTTCTTCTTGATTTATTCTGTTTCTTCACAGACAGATCAGATCTCCGTGTGGAGCACCAGCTGTTGTCAGACTCCTTGTGCATACAAAAATCTCACTGGATTATTACAATTATTGGCAAACTTAATGTTTGGAAATGTAAACCGATATTTCCTACTGACACACTACAGCCATTTTTTGGGTGAAAATACTAATGTGCCTAAGACTTTTGCACAGTATACTGTACACATAAATATATAAAAGGTTGGGGATGATGTCATGGATAATAATACAAGAGTATCCTCACAGTCTGGTATACGGGAGCGCTCTACCCTGAAGCCTATTCATCATTACTGCCTATAAGCTGCCAAAACATCCAAGACTTTAGTTAGAGGACCAGATTTATTTCCTAAAGACTCTAGTTATAGACTGATTTCACCCTCACCGAATATTCAGGACCAACAGAGTATAAAGCAGCTTCTGTGTGGAGTTAAAGTCGGCACAAACAGAAGTTGCGATAGTCTTTTCTTCCCTATTGTGACGTGAAAAAGAAAAATAGAGAGGGACTTGATTTTGTTCATGGTGAATTGATTGGATGGTTGTTGTTTGCTATTGGTGTATGTCATGTGAGTGACAGGTTGTCCCGCTCTCGTCATAGAGAAGAGAAAAGAAGAGATGAGCTGCAAAAGGGAGGGGGAGTTATTTTGATTAAAGTAAAAAAAAAAAAAAAAAATGACGTGCATGGAAAAATGGTTTATAGTAGATACTGCAATATTCCATAAAAATAAGACATTTCAATTTTAATTTCAGGGTGACTTCACAGTAAATTATGTAATGAGTGAAAATATATTTACACTGAAGGAGAGTCTTAAGCTATACTGGGAGCAGAATTTTACAAAGACACAGGGTGACTGGGCTCTTTTGACTTTAGCCAGTAAGATAACATCTACAGGTATACAACAACCCAATAGCAATCGCCTCACAACACCCTAGAAACCATCCAGAACACATTCACAACAGCATAGCAACTCATTGACAATTGTAGAGCATCTTTGCATCATGGTGGCAAGGTTTACATTTTCTATCTTCTCAAAAAAAAATCGAGTTTCCTAGCAAACTTCTTAATATTTATGGTGGCATGGTCACTGTAAACCTATACTGTAGGCCTATGATGACATTGAACTATCTTGGAGACTTTCAATCTTTTTTTTCTTTTTTTTTAAATTTAATTTTTTTAAACTATGTCCCTAAGTTGTGGCATCAGTTCAATTATGGCCAACAATGTCTAGTCGTTTTTAAAAGTCTTTTTGATAAGTTGTTAAAGCTGCATGTGTTGTATTAGGTTTTACCAGCAGGCGGCAGTACAGACCAGTTTAATTCCTAAGCAGCTTTACTCATTATGAGTGTGAAAAAAATGCCAATGGTCATATTTTCATTATTAGATATTATTCAAATTAAAATGAAACTAAAATCAAAACAGTTCTGTGTCAAAATGGTCCACTAGAGTGCAATATCAAACAAATACGCTTAAAAACTGAATAATCACGAGTACAATCAGCAATGATAGCCTAGGATGGCAAAGCAAAACCAAATTCACTTTAATTATAACCATAAATAACAAACAAAAAAATATGAATATAATATATCCCTCCACCCGTTTTCCAAACCTTATGTAAGTTTGCTGGATAATAATATAATATAGCCTAATATATGGTTACACTTTATTTTAAGGTAATGTTACAGTGTAGGCTACTGCACTTACTCAAATAAGTACTGAGTAATATTAATTAACTACATACTTACTATAGTTACGGTCATGGTTAGGGTTTGGTTTAGGGTTAGTTACTTGTAATTATGCATAATTTACTGTTATTTCTATAGTAAGAACATGTAGTAACGTGTAAGTAGGCCTACGTCACCTTAAAATAAAGCGCTACCATAAGTTACAATAATTATAGGCCTACATAATTTACTGTTACTACTATAGTAAGTAGGCTACCTGTAACGTCACCTTAAAATAATGTGTTACATAATATAATATGTAGGCTAAGGATTTTTTTTATATAATAGGCTATAAATAGAGGCTATAAATAATCATCATTTTAAAACCATGCTCACACAGACTAACTTTTAACATTAACTTTATTAAACTTGTTTACTTGTAATTGATTGTTGATTGAGTGTATTTTCCCTCGCCTCAGACACCCGTCCCCTCCCCAAACACACACCTCTCTCTCCCCTTTGCGCCCACAGCCCGCGATGCATCTCACTGCGTTAATCTGTTTGTTTTTCAAAGCCGTACAGTAAACGCTGATGCGCGTTAACGATTTTCTGTCTGCCATGTGACCGCATAACCCGCTCACATGAGCGCCGGGTTGCGTTATCCGCTTTAAGTTTGTTCGAGTCCCCTGATCCAGCTGAGACTGACAGGAGTTGCCATGGCGAGTGGCGGTGGCGAGCAGAAAGTGGTGCTGATCACCGGCTGCTCCTCTGGGATCGGACTGAGGATCGCCGTGCTGCTGGCCAGAGACGAACACAAGCGTTACCATGGTAAACGCGCTCATTTGCGTTCTAATTCAGCGTTCACACCTCTATAGAACGTTTTGGGTTTTCGTTTAAACTTGTTTCAGAAGTTGTAGATATTATAAGTTCACACGCTTCTAGCCGATAGCCTAGGTCTTACTTTGTAAACGCAGCTGTTGGGTATTTTTATGACATAACGCGCTGTACATTTTCGCATTAGTTTGTCTCTTCATCCGAACCGCAAGATTATACATTCACTTTTCTCTAGCTGAACCCAAAGGGTCTTTATTATCATGTGAACGCGCAGTTTCCAGGGTACGGCTCCGCGAGGATACCGCTTGCCAGGCGGAGATCATAAAGAGACTGCCAGTTCTCTTTCAAGTGACTTCTCCAGTACAAAGCTCTCTTTATGGCTGTGAATTGTAGACCGCTGCCCTGGTTTAGTGCCGTGTCTAATGCGCCAATAGTTCACACACTGGAATGAGTGTTGGGAGAGGGACAAAGTTTGAGACCTGTACAAGTTGAGGGCTCTAAAGCGAGGGGTCTTCTGAAGACTTCATCTGCACTCTGAGCAGGGCAAAACCATTGGACATTTGTTATCTCCTACTCGACTACATACAGAGACTCATTAATGTCAATCCAATGGTTTGCACCGGGGGCCTTCAACCTTTTTCAGACCCTTGGTGGAATGAGAGATGAAGCCTGCCCTATAATGACATGTGTATACTAGTAGCGCACATTAAAGGGATAGTTAATAGATCATTTCTTTCTTCTGCTGAACAAAAAAGAAGGTATTTTGAAGAATGTTGGTAACCAAACAGTTGATGGACCCCATTGACTTCCATAGTATTTATTTTTCTCCATTCTATGTTCATCAACTGTTTAGTTACTTCAAAATATCTTCTTTTGTAAACGCATATTTGGAACAATGACATAATTGACAATGGTATTTTCATTTTTGGGTGAACTATCCCTTTAATGTATTTACATACTTATGATGCTTACTGTAAACATTGATGAGTCATGTACTTCTACATTACATTTTAATTCATTTAATGTGGGCAAGACAATGAAACTTCGCTTCTTTGGATTTGGTTAAATTTATATATACATTTATTTGTGATTTGAACACATTTCAAAACAAAAAATAAAAGTCGCTGTTTGGATTTAAATATGTAAATGCTTGAGAGTCTATGACTGGATCATTATTGAAGTGATTATTGTGTTTCTAGCATGTTATATGTTTGGCATCAGTTCTACTAACACTATTTGATGGAGTGTGTAGCTTTTCATTTCTTAAACACCCATGTGGGAAGACACATTATGGCCATATTCCAGGATGACAATGATTCATCTGGCTCAAATTGTGAAAGAACGGTTGGGAGGAGCATGAAGAATCATTTTCACACATTAATTGGCACACATGAGTCCAGAACTTAAATTTACTGAAAGTCTTTGGCATGTGCTGGAGGAGACTTTACAGAGTGGTGGACTCTTGCATTGACAATACAAGATCTTGACCAAAAATTGATGCACCCCTTGATGGAAATATTGTGATGTGATGTGTCTTCCTACATGGTTGTTAAAGAAATGAAACGCTACACACTTCATCAATTAGGGTTAGAAGAACTGATGCCAAACATATAACATGCTAGAAACACAATAACCACTGCAATAATGATCCAGTCTCTTAAGCATTTGCCTATTTAAATCCAAACAGTGAGTGTATTTTAAGATTGGTGGACCTCCTGCAGTATCGCTACAAACCCCTTGTTTTACAACACGAAAGGGAGGCTTTTAAAGGGGTCATATAATGCCATTTTTGTACAAGCTAATATGATTCTTTAGGGTCTAAATTAAAAGTTTGTAATATACTTTAATTAAAAATTCTCATTAGTATTGTAAGAAAACACTTATTTTACTTGGTCAAAAACAGCTCTGTTTTCAGCTCGCCGTTTCAGTGCATATGACTTTAAATTAAAATGAGCTTTGCTGACTCCGCCTCTCTGTTCTGTGCGTACACCGTTTGTAACACAATAACACAAAACCATAACGCGTTGTTCAGTATAAACGTGGGATTATGAATTATATTGAGAACGTCATACATAGAAAACATGCCGTAATGTACCCTGAGTGTAAACCTTAGACGCATTCATTGTGAAGCGTGCAGCTAGCGATTTGCAAAGATTAATATAAATATTAATATAAAGGTTAATAAAACGTCACACTCACTTCAGTTGTTCTAGAGGTTCAGCAGGAACACGAATAGCTGGTACCGATCCTTTTTTCATGAGCAGCTTCTTAGCAAAACCAGCTTTATACTGACCCTCATTTATAAAGCAGTCTGCTGAGAAATGATTCGCGCAAACATGAAAGCATTGACGTTGCTCGTGGGGAATATTCCCTTCGAAAACAAACTCAGCCACTGCGTCTTCAGCGGTTCGGATTTAGGAACATTAAAATGACTGCTGTGTTCATTATTACACCCAAGAACAGAACACCACAATCGCTTAGACGCCATTCTGCTCATAGACAGTGCTCCAGCATATCAACAATGACCGCGCCGGTCCGCGCAGACTATGATTGACAGCTCCCTCATGAGCGAGGGCGGGTCTTTGTTGAAACGCTCCTGTCAATCAACACTCGTGGGAGGGGCTTCCGAGCGTGTGACGTTACACGGTCGAATGGCTCAATTTGAGACTGGGGAAAACATATAAGGAGATTAAAACAAAAACACTGGATGGATTTTTATCATTATATGATGGTTGTGTACAGACACTGCCAACACACATTTCAGTACAATCAACTTGTAAAAGTGCATGTACCATTATATGACCCCTTTAAGAACGTTGAAATGAAGAAGTTAAAAGGAAACCATTTTTCATTCTTTTTCATCTTTTAAATGAATTCCATTTGAACTTTGTTCCCATTCTAAGAGCATTGCAACAGTGGATTTTTTTCCCGAAAACAAAAATAAAATCCTTTTCCAATTGGTTCTGGTTATAATGAGGAGCAGTGATATATGCCAACTTCAAAGAAGCCAAGAAAATATATAATAATCCAATTATAATTGAGGGTGGCTCATTCAAGAACGTTTAATCGGCCTCAAGTCTTAAAACAACAGCTTTAACAATGAGGCGGTTGTTCCCGTAAACACATTTATGCCGTGGCCTAGTTTGGCTCCACATGCCTTGTGTGTCGTAAGAATTAAGTTCTCCTCTCAGCTTATTCTTTATATACAAGTGAAATCTAGTTTGAGAAGGCAGGAATGCAGATTTCCCAGCAGCTGTGTCTCTCCATCATCATCACCCTACAGATGCATTACGGTCTCCGCATGTGTACTGGCTCTTTTCAACAGCAGCTGGGCTTTGACTGATCAGGGATGCCGTCTGTTGACAGACTGAATGAACAACGGAGGCTCCTTGACTTCATCTGTAAATCAGACAGGATTTGATCAGCAAATCAAACCTCAATGTACCGAAGATGTGCTAGTGCCACAGAGAAAGAGACAGCAACAATAATATATATCATTGTCAAAGACGAAAAGTAGGCCTAGGATGTAAACGTTGAATATCGTCTGTATTCATTTAGAAGTTGACTTACAAATGAGGAATACAACAAAGTGAGAAAAAGAAACAGTGAAAATATAGAAAAGGATTTTATTTTTTAAGAAAAGAAGAAAAAATATGTATATATACTACAATTTAGAAAAATGTATACTACCATTTAGAATACATTTTTTTAACGTTTTTGAAAGAAGTCTCGTATTTGATCAAAAATACAGTAAAAACAGTAATATTGTCAAATATTATTACAATTTAAAATGACTGTTTTTTTCTATTTTTATAGAATTTAAAATATAATTTATTTCTGTGATCAAATCGGAATGTTTCAGCATCATCACTCCAGTCTTCAGATTCACATGATCCTTCAGAAATCTTTCTGATATGAAATCATCACTTATTTGAAATATATATTTTTTAAAACAATGTCTTTACAAAAGCCTTTACTGTCATTTTTGATCAATTTAATACAGCCTTGCTGAATAAAAGTATTTAAAAAAAAAATTAACGATTATACTGACCCCAAAATTTTGAATGGTAGTGCATTTCTTTATAATAGTTTTTGATAAATAAATATAGAGAGTTGATGCATTAATAGGATTCAGTGTGCACAGAATAAAAAAAAAAACGAAACATTTCTTGAGAATTGAAAGGAACTGTTCAGGTTTAGCGTTAGGAAGATTCCACCCATGAAGAACAGTGAATCATATCGACCTAAAATATGGAAAGGTGGTCAAAAAAATAATTTTGCTTTGCTTTTCATGAAGAACTTTCCAGAACAGCTGATCACTGACATCAGAGTGGACTGGATAATGTCTTCAAAAAGATAAAAACTGATTATTTCAGATGAAAAATGTTCAGCAAGCTTATTATTAAATCTGGGATGGGCGCTTGATTTAGGTCAGTGTCCCTCATGCGTTCAAAGTGCAAAGTGCTTTACAATGTTAATCTCTTCAGCTTATCTTTCAGCCACAGGTTTAATTAAGCAACACACACACCACTGATTACACTGAGTGTTTGTTTGGGTCAGCATATATGTCATTGAAAGGGACCAAATTCAATCAAACGTGCTGTGCTGATTTCAGAACAAAGCATAAAAACCTCTCAGTTGTAGATTTAAGGCTTGAACTTTTGAGTGATTACTGCTTTGTTAATGACATGCTTGTTCTCTGTCACTTTGTCTTGAAGTTATTGCCACTATGAGAAACCTGAAAAAGAAGGACCAGCTGGTGGAAGCAGCGGGTGACGCGTACGGCAAGACCCTGACACTGCTGGCATTGGATGTGTGTAGTGATGACTCGGTCAGGCAGTGTATTGACAGTGTAAAGGACCGCCACATCGACATTCTCAGTGAGTGCAGGATGCCTTTGACCTCATTGGCTTTGTTCACACTGCAGGGGAAATCCGATTTATTTATTTTTTTTATTAGATGGGCTGTTTCAAACTGCAAGTTATATGCAGCAGGATCAGATTTGGGGTTGTGAAAAGAGCGAAAAGTCTACTAGAAAAATGTGCAAGTTAGCAAGCCAACTGTCCTTGGCTTGCTAACATCAAACTGTTTGCTAAGGGAATCATGGGGTCCTTCATTTCAGAGTCACACTCAGGACCTTCGGGTCCAAATGGGCCGGAAGGGTGGGATTAATATTTATTTTAAAAAAATCATCTTTTTTTTTTTTTTTACTTGTTTTTTATAATATTTTTTCTTTTCTTTTTTGGTGTTTTGAGATAATTTCAAAAATAAAAATGATTTATAATTAATATTAATGCAATAATTATGACCCATTTTTTCCCCATTGAATATAATAGAAATTTCTTTATTTTATTATTTATTTATTTATTTATTTAAAGCTGTATTTCATTTTAGAGTCAAGCCTAGGCCTCATGAAAGCAATTTTTGAAATGAGATGGATGCCATCTGGTGGACACACTGAGCATTTTAAAAATTCAAAACCCATATATAATCTGAATTTATTAGTGTGTATGTGTATAAAAGTGTGTTTGTGTGCGTGTGTGTGTGTGTATGTGTGTGGATGTGTCTGTTTTGCACTCTTGATGTTTTATAGATTCACCCCTTCACTGTTGTGTGCTTTTTTTCTGGATCGTGGCTGATTTGTAGATTGTATGCACAAAAAAACTCTGTATTTTCACATTTTTGCCAATTTCCCATTCATTTCCTATGCGGGTCCATTTGGACCCAAAGGTCCTGAGTCTGACTTTTTCAAATCCTGTCCCCAATTTTTTTGGGAGTTCATATACCAAGTACCAACAAAGTCACCAAATTTCGGACCATTCCGATAAAGCTATGATTAAAAAAATATATATATTTAAATGCTTCGGGTCCATTTGGGCCGAAGGACCCCAGAGGGTTAACATGCTTTGTGGTCTTTTACATCCTAAACGTACTTTTAAAATGAGTGGTTGTTTTGAGTAATATTTTCGGGTATGTGTTAATCGCAAATAAGTGAAAGTGTATTATAGTTTGAATTTATATTAAAAGCATTTAGCTGAAGTGCTTTAGAGTCCTTTTTTACTTTAGTACATCTTGTAATTTATACTTCTATATGGTTCAAGTGTATTGCCGAATGTACAAGCAAGCAGTAAACTAAAATATACTTTAAATATCATTTCTATTGAACCTTATATGTCATGTATTTAAATATATTTGTAATTACACATTTGTAACGATCACTTATATTGCATTATATTAACTTTAAAAGTAATATTGAATAACACATTACAGTTAAAATTATAATCAAGTACTTTACATGTGCTTTAATAAGTTAGTCAACACATCAAAATAAGTGTACTTCTTTAAAGCACGACAAAAAAATATTAAAACATAATGATTTAAAATGTTCTATAAGTGACTTTTTTTTTTACAAAGTGCACTTTTAAAGTTAAAGAAACATATCATGAATGTGTACTCTCTTTAAGTGGCCTATTATTTCATTATTATATTATCTGCAATTACAGCGTTTATAAATATTAAAGATATATATGATATACTTTTAAGATTTGAAGTACACTACAAATTCACATTCAATACAATTAAGTGCACTTCTTTTTTACAAGGGTTCACTACCTGTTGCTATTCTTGACAAAACACCTGTTGTATAAACGCGTCACATGACTACTAAAAAAAAACCACACACGTTCGCCAAATCCTATTGGACTGTTCAGACTTAGACGCATTAACTTTAATAGGATTTGGCTTAGGCTTGGATTGGCGTTACACAAACTGAACAGATTTTTTTTTTCTTGCCTGTTTGAACATTTCAGCAGAGATACAATAGATACTGTAGAGTACTACAATGACCAGAGACATGAGTTTGCTAGAAACTATAATAAGCATGGGTTGAATGATAAGTGCTGCTCACAATAGATCAATACTAGCCTAGTGCCTCAGGGACCGGTCAAGTCCATAACCATCCGTGTTTCCTGTCTGATTTCCCAGTTAATAATGCAGGAGTGGGTTTGCTGGGACCTGTGGAGAGCATCAGTATGGATGAGATGAAGAAAGTGTTTGAGACCAACTTCTTCGGAACGGTGCGCATGATAAAAGAGGTCATGCCAGACATGAAGAAGAGGCGAGACGGCCACATTATCGTCATGAGCAGTGTAATGGGCCTGCAGGGTAAGACGGACACACCAAGCCTGAAACCTTCTGTGTCACACAGCTGAATGCTTGACAGTCAGATCAACAATAGAGCCATTCAGAGTTATGCACTTGGCTGTAGAGCATTGTGACGGAAGGAAATGCCACACATTGTTTGAGCCACATTAGGAGGGCAGAAGACCAATGACATTATCACTGAATATATCTCTATTGAACTCATCTTGCAGGTGTGGTATTCAATGATGTCTACACGGCCTCTAAGTTCGCCATAGAGGGCTTCTGTGAGAGTATGGCTGTGCAGCTGCTGAAGTTTAATGTCAAGTAAGTGATTTGAAGTCTTATGGTTGAGGGCCTATTGACATTAAAGGGATACTCCACTTTTTTTTGGAAATAGGCTCATTTTACAACTCCCCCAGAGTTAAACTGTTGAGTTTTACCGTTTTTGAATCCATTCAGCCGATCTCCGGTTCTGGCGGTACCACTTTTAGCATAGCTTAGCATACATCATTGAAGTGGACAAGACCATTAGCATTTCTCAAACAAAAATCACCAAAGAGTTTCGATATTTGTCCTATTTAAAACTTGACTCTTCTGTAGTTACATCGTGCACTAAGACCGACGGAAAATGTAAAGTTGCGATTTTCTAGGCTGGTATGGCTAGGAACTATACTCTCATTCCTGCGTAGTAATCAAGAAACTTCGCTGCCGTACCATGAGTGCAGCCGGCGCAATGATATGACACAGCGCCTGAAAATAGTTCCGTTGTGTTGACGGAAGGTAGCCTATTTTCAGGCGCTGCTTCATATCATTGCGCCTGCTGCACTCATGGTACGGCAGTGAAGTTTCTTGATTATTATGCAGGAATGAGAGTATAGTTCCTAGCCATATCAGCCTAGAAAATCGCAACTTTACATTTTCCGTCGGTCTTAGTGCACGATGTAACTACAGAAGAGTCAAGTTTTAAATAGGACAAATATCGAAACACTTTGGTAATTTTTTTTTTTTAAATGCTAATGGTCTTGTCCACTTCAATGATGTATGCTAAGCTATGCTAAAAGTGGTACCGCCAGAACCGGAGATCGGCTGAATGGATTCAAAAACGGTAAAACTCAACAGTTTAACTCTGGGGGAGTTGTAAAATGAGCCTATTTCCAAAAAAAGTGGAGTATCCCTTTAAGTCTGAATTCTCTGCATTAAAAACGTGAAGAAAACAAAAGATTTTAGATATGCTAAGGCAATGCAATCATATTACTATGAATGGGCCAATCGTCAATTGGAAAAAGCCAGAAGCTCCAGTCGCAAAAGAAACAGTCAGTGTTCTGAGACGGGCGCTTATATGCCAAATTTACACTCCACCGACAGAAGCAGGCCAACGCTGACAGTCACCAGATTACAGCACGTCACTTTTCAGATTTTCTAAATCCGATTCAGCTTGTTCAACAGACGCCAACAGCACACTGATCCGGCAAAACCCGGCGAAGTGTCCGTTGCCGTCTGTCAGAGTGTTGTGAATTGTCCTTATGACTGCACAAGCACATGCACATTAACTGGTCCAGCCTGAAAAATTTAGTTTTTTGTCATGATTTGAGAGTGTTTAGAAACAAAATTTATGAAACAGTTTTCATATTACATTGGTGACTTCAAATATGAAATTTAATCTTAAGTGTGGTGAACAGCTTTAGAGAATTTGATGTTTCCCCATTCAAAGAGATACGAGCTGCACTTAGCTTCCCGAGAGGCGTTTCAAAGATGGCCGCCGAGTGAAATGACTTGCCTTAAAGGGATAGTTCAGCCAAAATGAAAATGGCCTCACCCTCAGGCCATCCAAGATGTTGGTGTATTTTTTTTTCTTCAGTAGAAATGTAAAGAAGACTTTTAGCTAAAAAACCGAAATTAATTACCAAGGACCACGTTTTCAGCTAAAACCCTGTGGGTGATTAAATTAACAGCAAATTTAATTTTTTTGGGGAGAACTATCCCTTTAAAGCAGTGGTATTCAAATGGCGAACCACAGATTTTTCACGCTACATCTTCTAATATTTTTATATGGAGACAAATAAGCTTCATTCAAGTCCTTTCCGTTCCGTGCGCGTTGCATCTCTCTCCCGCTAAAGACATAAAGCGCAACATTAAGAGCTGCAGATGACGTGGTTATTTTAACAACAGAAGCAGAAACACCATGAGCAGCAAAATAGATCCTTTTGCTAAAACGAGGCAGAAAACGAGAATGCAGAAAATACAATTATTGTTATCTGTCATACAGATGACTCCGACCGTTTGACTAAACCAGGTTTGGGACAAGATAACGCGTGGCGCCTTTAGACGTTTTGTTTGTTTTTTTCTCCATACATTTAGCATTATTAATAAGCATATTAAAAGCATTTCATAATAAAAAAATTATTTAGAGATGGCAAAGGAAGACAAAAAACTTTCAAATTACTAGTTCACTTTTTGTGCTCATGATGAGAGTTTTGATTATAAATTATGCACATTGTTTTTAGTAGTTTATTACTTGGAGCAAAATGTAAACAGTTCTTAAGAGATAAACTAAGATGTAACCTTACCTTCTGCGCCATACACAAAGGTGTCTAAATGTAAAAAAAAAAAAAAATGAAATATTTAAAAGATTAATAGCCTGATAAAACATCTGATCTAGCCTTTGTATATTCATATCCAGATGGGAGAAATATTTACTAAATATTTATTTCTTTTACAAATCACTACGGCTTTCAAAAAAGTATTGTGCGGACCTCCGCTGGGAAGGAAATATAGCGACAGGACCTCTTGGAACTTTAAAGGGACTTTAGTTTAAAACCAAAACAATGAAAATATCAGTGAAATATCAAATTGCAATGATCCAAGATGAAAACGGATTTGTTTCCCCCAAAAATTGAAAGAATTTGAGAATGAAATCATAACATTTTGAGGGTAACGCTTTAGCATTTAAGTTAGAATAATGCAGTTCTCAAACAAGAACACACAAAAAGTGTTGGAGTTAATTAATTTAATATATCAATGCTTACAGTTTCTGTTAATAAAATCGTTTTAAATCAAGCAGCTTTGTCATAACTACAGCAGAAGTACTGGAAATATCTCAGCTTATGTGAATATCTTGGTCAGCAGGGTACTTTATGCGCCAAATTATTACTTTTTTCTAGAAAATTGATCGATTTTTTTTAACATGGCACTAAAACAACTGTTGTACTCATCAGACTTGGTGTAAACAGGCTTTTATAGTCCATCTTGTTGGCATTAAAGAGTGCTTCAGTTGCAATGTAACATTCCCTCTGTACTCCCAGACTGTCTATGATCGAACCAGGCCCAGTGCATACAGAGTTTGAAACCAAGATGATGGAAGAAGTGGCCAAGATGGAATATCCTGGAGCAGACGCAGACACAGTCAGATACTTCAAGGATGTGTACATTCCATCATCCATCGATATCTTTGAGGCTTTGGGACAAAGACCTGATGACATCGCTAAAGTATGTGCCACCGTTTGACTGCACACATATATGAACCCTATGAATTTGCTTACGCTGGCCATTAAAGCTTTGCATTCTTTTAATTCTCCATGCATTTTGGTCATTTTCTGTTCCAGTGCACCAAGAAAGTGATTGAATCCAGCCGACCTCGATTCCGGAATCTGACCAACAACCTCTACACGCCCATTGTGGCCATGAAATACGCGGATGAGACCGGAGGACTTTCAGTGCACACATTTTACAACCTGCTCTTTAACTTTGGCTCGCTTATGCACATTACCATGAGCATCCTCAAATGCCTGACATGCAACTGTCTGCGCAGACGCACCATTTCTCCTGACTGAAGAGGGCAGCAGTGAGACGACGCACACACTCACACTTCCCTCAGTTTACTTTACAGCAGAATAGGACACAACTCAATGCAACAAGCAGGAAAATACAATACCTCAAATGAGTATTCCACATTAAAACACATTATAAAAAAAAGGCAGATTTGGATTTTCAAAACATGCACATGTATCGTTGTACTAATGCTAGCAACTCGATTCATCAGAACAACTTAGTTACTTAGTAACAACAGATGTTTTAAAAGAGTAGGTGGGTTATGTTGTAAAGAGTAGGTGGGTTATGTTATTCCATGATTGTGAATTACGAAGCATTTTAGTCTGTAAAAATGAACAGACCATGTTCACAATCAAGTGAAAAATAATCACATAGCTGCCTTTATTTGTACTAATGACGTACATGGAAATGTCTCTGATGTCTTATGTTTAAAATCTATTTTTCTCCTTTTATAAGCTAAGTCTATGTTTTTTATTTGAATTAACTTGAACATGTAGGTGGTCTTAAAGCTTTATTTAAAGATGTGCTGATTTTGAACCTAAATAACAATGTAATGTGATCGTTTTGCTCAAGGCTGGAAGCGTATTAAAGTGTAGTTTTCACTTGTCGTCTGTCTTGTTCAAACTGCTGTTACTTTTTTCCAGTGCCAGATTCATTTACCTTGATTCTGCTCCTTTAATTAAGAAAAACCTAAACACTGAATACACCACTCAACACAGTGTAACTGCCTTAACCACATTACTGTTGTGGCCTTAGGATACTCAACATTAGCCAAGGACAGACTGCCAGACATTCTCATTTTAACCAGCAGAGGGCGACAGAGTACATTAGCAGAGTAAAGAAATAGCACACAGAGGAATAGTCTGAGATCTGTGCTGTCATTACTAAGGGTGCTTCTCAATTGGGAAGTTGTATCCTAGTTAGATCTGTGTCCTTTCTAGTCCATTCCTTCCAAGGCTCCTATGCTAGACTTCCTCTCGGCACCGAACGCTAGAATGAGACGGTCTAGTAAGTGCGCATGTCTTTGTAATTAGGTTTCCTTCCCCCGCGGTCAAGTACAAAAATACTATTAAATTGACTTTAATATAAACACTTTACATTAAATATAGGCCTATTTATATTAACTGAATAGAAAGTTACTGAATTGGAATGTGTGTAAAGAATTGTGGGTGATTGATTCGTTTACACTTGATGCATCCTACGAAAGACGACAAATGAAGGACGAGAAACGAAGGCCCAGGATCCTTCAAAATGGGACGGTGTTGATGACGTGGCAGTCTAGATATACAGCCTTACTAGGATGCAGCCTTCCGATTGAGAAACTACTATAATGTAGGCAAAAAACAGAATGTAAAAAGAGTAGTATATGTCCGAATTCACAGTATTCATAAAACAGTAGACAAAACGTACTTGGATGACCATCAACTTCCAGGGGGATTCAGAAGTGCGCATCCAATAGAGTGGTGCAGGTATGACATCACTTTGTAGGCCAAAACGCGGAAGTGAGCTAGCATTTTAGCACTTCTGGTTTCCCCGTCCCGAAGTCAATGGGTTTTTTTTAATAGGATTTTGGTTAAATGGCTGAAATAAGGTCTGTGGTGAACACAAGCTCAAGGCATTTTACGTTTTATTCTACGACATAAAATACATCAGTGTTACCCCACTCATGAATTTTGAAGCCGTTGCATGTCTTGAAAAAAGCCTTGCTAACATTAATGGCTTAATGGGACTACTGAGGCTGTCAGGGAGATTAAACGTCATCACGCCGAACAGGTAAACTCAGTCCGCTTTTACAGCCTCGTTATGCTTATAACTGTGCTTTTATAAATATTCCAACTCCAACTTTCTGAGAAAATGTTTTAAAAGAAAAACTGAAAGAGTTGATGGTGACGCTGAATTTGTGGGACCGTGGTGTAGTTTGGTTATAGCCTACCTTTAGCTTTTTCTGGCTACTGCATTTAGGCTTCAAAATTCATAAAAGTTGACGTTGTGTTCTATCTGTTACATCTGTGATATTTATCTTGATGGACAAAATGTGTAAGTATCAGTCTTTCACAGAGCTTGCCTTTTGCGATAATCCAAAAGCCTGTGGAAAAATCCTATTGGGTTTTTGTCGAGGGAACCAGTGTGATGCGAACTGTCCATTGGCCTATAATGCACCTCCACCACTCTATAAACACTTTACTATCCCATTTGAGAATGGCAGTGAAGAGAAGCAACTGCTGGTAGGTCACATGACAATGACAACATGACAAATGTAGTATATTCAGAATACATTCATAAAACCTACTTTTTTAATAGCTGCCAAGTACTTATTCAAAAGAAGCACCTACTCGGAGAGCATGTGATTTCGAATGCAACTAGTGTGTATTGAGGATCAAATATTAGGCTGTTAAAATCCCTGACACTGTGTGTATAACCCTAAGCACATGTTGCCTGTACTGAAAATGTTATATTTATGATTATACAGAGTACCGGACCCCCTCCAGCCCCGTGCGCTGTTTTAGTCACATAGCCAAGGTATTTGTCTTAGTCACTATGCAAGGAAGGCCAACACAAAATGGGGAAAAGTGAAAGAGACAAAGTGAGAGCAAAAGATGCAGGAGATATCAAGCCTGTGGCATCGAGCAGAGAGACCGCAAAAGCAAGAGGGGCAAATCGAGCACATAAGTACATTCCGACGCATTGCAGATTGGACAGCGCACACCCGGCCAATGATATGTTGATGGATATAAAGAGGTCATGGCCTAGTCCCCGTCCGCCACCCTCCCTCGGCACCCCCAGCCCTCTCACACACACACTGCTTTGTGCGGAGTGAGAGAATGTGACCTGGTTCCCATCCCTGAGGAGCTGTGTTAATGACAACCACTTCAGACAACATTGAGCATCCCTTTCGCCTCCCCCACCAGCTGTCCCGCTCAGCCACACCACCTCAGCAGGGCGCAGCTTGCAGACGGACTGCGCGAGGTTCCTCCGGCCTTCGTCGGGCATCGCGCAACCATGTCCTTGGTTTTCTAAACCACTGGAAACTTACCCAGCACAGATAGCACAACTGCGTTCACGTCTCGGCGATGACAGACCTTTCAGTCCGGCGCAACAAGGCCAAGGTGCGCGAGCAAGATCGTGCTTTCCTATGCATGCGTGTGTTTGTGTGTGTGTGTGTGTGTGTGTGTGTGTCTTCATCAGAGGCGACAGCTCAGTACAATGGGACAAAGAATCTGTCAATCACAATCAAAAGGGAAATGGAAGGCAGTCCAGAGGGGGAGGAAGGGGCCGCTGTGTGTCCCGAATCTTTGGACGGGATGTGGGCCACGGCGCGCAGGGGGTTGGGGGGAGTGGTGTGGAGTTGAGATGCGTCTGATTTGGGAAACGAGGGTTGAGGATCCTTGCATTCAATAGAGGACCTCTTCACTAATTGAGAGATTGCAGGAGTTACAAATCTCATTAAACAACACCATTATTCCTATCAGGCCATTGTGGTCTCTCAAAACAGTTATGACATAATCAGCTGCAGTATTGTCTTTCACAGGTTTTGACTGAATTATGGGAACATTCGTCGTCCTGTCGCAACTTTCACATGCACAAAATAAAAGCAACTTGTTGCCGAGCAGACGTAGATTGGCTCTATGAGACGTACACGTTCAGGAGTTGGAACAGCAAGGCTTCCAGCATTATCTTTGGCATGCTGGTTGTCTGACACATTCCTGCAACATCTGGTCTGTCCACAGCCTGGGTCATCTCTGGTTCAGCCCTTCGCAGTCTGAAACAACTTCAGCCTGCAGTGCAGAGGCAGGACATTACAGATCATCAGTTCGTCGTCTGTAAGACCCGGGCCTCAGAAGCTCTGCAAGAGCAGCAGTCGTATGTGTGCCAGTGCGCCAGTGTGCCTCTTGAGGCCAGGGAGTAAAGTTTACACCCACCACCTAGGCCTAGGTCCTTTACAACCCACTCCAAGCGGGATTCTAACTGGGGTCTCCGGTGTGGCAGGTGGGTGCGCTAGCACGCCTCTTGAGATCAGGGGAGTGAGGTTTACACCCCCAGCTCTTACTGGCCTACGTCCGTTACATACAGATAAATAATCATTTGCTCATGCTTTCATTCAAGCTTTCTCACTGGTGGTTTCCTGACACGGGATGCTTTTCTAACTGTCGCTTAGTTGCTATTTTAATGTGTCTGCCTCTATTTTGCCTTTTATTCAGTCATACACACCGTAAAGATGGCTAGAGTTGGAATGAGTAGGAGTTCCTTATAAAAAATATGAAAGGCAATGAAGCATTAAACCTACCCATCACAGAAAACTTTCTGCATTTTTAGATTTTCAAAAAGATTTACTTGGTATGATTTATAATATATGCTGTTTTCCTAATGGGGACCAAAAATATGTTCCCACAAGGATTTTTGGTATTGCCAGCCTTGTGGGGTCATTTTGACCACACACACACACACACACACACACACACACACACACACACACACATTGGGTTTCCATGTTTTATGAGGACTTTCCATAGACATAATAATTTTTATACTGTACAAACCAGGGGCGTACAATTTAGTAGGGACGCTTGGGACGTGTCCCTACCAATATCCAGTGACACTGATATATCCCTAGCAATATTTTCGATCAAAACTTTAAATATATTAAATATTGATGTCCCCGTCCCCACCAATTTCAAAATCAAACCTACGCCACTGGTACAAACTGTATATTCTATCACCTTACACTAACCATAATCCTAAATTTTATAAGCTGTTTTCCTCATGGGGACAAAAAAAAAGATTTCTCGTTTTGCCATCTTTTTGGCGACATGTTGTCCCTATAACATAGGGTTTACCAGGACCACTCACACACACACACACACACACACACACACACACACACACACACACACACACACACACGTCTACTTAGCAAACTAAATGGGGACATTGTGTAGACTTCTATTGTTTTTATACGCAGCGAGTTATAAATACTATAACCTAACCAAAAACTTTCTGCACTTTTATAAAAAAAAAAAAAAAAAAAAAAAAAAAAAAAAGGGTATGATATGATATGATATGATCAGTAAGTCATGACAATTTATGTTTTTACATTACTTTAACTTACATAAGTTAAGCAATTGGACATTTTTTATAAGTTATATAAGATTCAACTTGATTTTCAATATAAGTTGAAATGACTTGTACAACCAAGTTGATTGAACTTTAAATGGGTGGAA